TCCTTTCCTTTCTTTTCCTTTCCTTTCCTTTCTTTTCCTTTCCTTTCCTTTCTTTTCCTTTCCTTTCCTTTCTTTTCCTTTCCTTTCCTTTCTTTTCCTTTCCTTTCCTTTCTTTTCCTTTCCTTTCCTTTCCTTTCCTTTCACGAACACACATCAGCAGTATTCTGGCTTCTGAATTTATATAATGTCTACAGTGTAAAAGATACTGAGACAACTCCAGTATTGTTTCTAATATATAGACATACGTGGCAGCTTTCGGAGTGGATATAGTTTCAAAAGTACTGTAGCAACTTGTACTTGCTGTAACAACAAGCAGTAGAGCATCTAGCCACCTAATAAAATGTTACCATATGATTTCTGTTATGGATACATGCAAAAGAGTATATACAAGCTATAAAGGTACTTATTTTTTTTTTCTGTGCTGTATACAAGTAAAAAGTGAATAGGTTGTATGTTGAATAGCTTGAAGATACGAAGCTTGAAAGCAGTGTAGGAAAAGTCTTATAGATGAGAATCTTACAGGTTTCATGTCCAGCTCTTCTATTGACACTTTACAATAATACAGTTCATTTAATTCATATAGTAACTGGCAACACAAACACTTCAAATTTAATTAATGAGTGGTCTTATAGCATAATAGGGACTTAGAATACTTTTTTTTCTTTTTCCCTTCCCCAGAAAAATAATTTAATCGAACAGGACCCTTGAAATCTGGTAAGTCTTTTCATTTCACTATCATCTGCATTTTAACAGAGAAACACAGAGTGTCATATTTACAAAGTAGACAGAATATTAAGTAGACAAGCAGCTTTTCATTAAAAACACAGAATCATAGAAAAAAATAGTTTAAAAGGGAATCCAGGAGACCAATCTATCTGGACTCCTGGATCAGAGCAGGGCTACCTTCAAAGTTGGATCATTTTGTCAGGACTTTGTGGAGCTGAGTTTTGAAAAGCTTCAAGCATTAATATCCCACACCTTTAGGCAGCCTTTCCAGCTTTGTGCTCTTCAGCAAGAGTTTGGGAGCTGCTATTCTAATCACCTACCTAAATAGCTTTATGACTCAGAGGAATAAAATAAAAAAAATGTAAAACTGCCACACAGAGACCTTTCTGCCACTCTGCCCAAAATCCCAGTCCTGACTGAATGTTCACCACATGTTCACACCATTCGACAGGTACACCAAGAACTCTGCCCAGAAATATTTGTACACTTTATTTGTAGTAAATTAATGTGACAGCATTCCCACATGCAGAAGGGCTAGCAAAGAACATAAGATCTATCAGAATAAAGTAGCAGAGAACTTGAATATATCACATACGTGTTTGTATAGCATCTTACAAACATAGATCCTATATAGAAAGATCATATGAAAGTGGTTTAAAATGTACCAAGGAAAACTGTGTCATGCCAAATGATAGGCAAAGAAATAAACCTAACCAAGTGTTGTCCAAGATCTGTACCTCAAACCCCAGCGATTTTGACTTCTGGAACTGGATGAATTGAAGTATTTTCCATAGATTCCTCATAGAAAAATACCTGGGAGTACCTTTTTTTTTTTTTTTTTCTTTCTTTTTTTTTTCTGTAATAGGCTTTTCCGCTACAGCATACAGAGAGGAAGCATTTACTTTTCTCATTTTTGGTTTAGTGAATTTTGTTGTCAGCAAAGTGACCTACATGGTACTGTATAGGAAAAAACACTCTAACATTTTATTCATTTATCACAACTGTAATTTGCTCTTGAATAAAGTCTTTTTATGTCCATTGGCTGCTGCTATTCTGTATGTAAGGGTCATAATGTTCTGTCCAAGCTTCAAGTACACTAAAAGACTTAAATGGCTCAAAGCAGTAATCCAGAGTTTTGAAGTGTGGTGGGCTTGCAGAGTAGTTTAAGAGTACAGCACAGCACAATGACTTTTGACAATATTGACATCTCTGTTTCCTCACTGTTCCTTTTTATCTTTTTTATATGAATCAATATGACAATAATCTATTGGAAATAGATTAAATTCCTCTGCAATATTAATCTAGAGATACTTTTTTTTCAAGTCAGTGCTTAGTCTCATTACCTTAATTTCTAAATGTTTCAGACAAAAATTAGATGAGCCAGGAGCACTTCAAAGTTCATAGACCCAGAAGTGCTCTAGCTGTATCGGTCTACCTTTTAAGGTGAAATTCAAAGGCAGTGTTTAGAAGACAGTTGCAAGATATTTTATGGTACAGGATTCCTATATCGTCCTGTGAAGGAAAGATACGGGACTATGTTGCACTATATCCACAACCACAGCATGTCTCAACTGATGTTCCAGTACAGAGGTGGTGACTGAAAGAGGTTATTACTTCCAGCTATCTAGTCTATATTCTTGTAGAGTGAATTAGGAATACTAGAACAAAACATATTCTTCAGCCACTCTTCAACTTAAAACCACTATTTCACTTTATACCAGTGTATAACGAGATGGTAGTGAACATGGCCACTTCCAATGTAGAAAGGTGAAAGAAGTAGACTGCCGAGTAGAGGTACAACCTTCAACTGCCACAACTTCTTCAAGGGATTTACTTCTCAGCTCTCATGGAGCTATGTTGAAAAGAGCTCTGAAATTTGTCCTCGCTGAAATTAACAAGTCATTTGCTGGAAAATCCCCTTAGCAGAGATACCTGAATCCCTAAAGAAGTTAAAACTTTGTTCACTGAATTTTAGAACACCTAACATTTCAGGGCTTGAGAAGATCCACTACATTCATTTCCAAACTTAAGTTTCATATATATAACAGGAGAGAGATGGGCATTAAAAAATTGCATTTACAAAAGCCAGCATGATGAAAGTAACTTGGCAAGCATCTGGATTTGACTTGGCAATGTGGTAGAGTACCCCACTGAGTATAAGCCATGTCATTGAAGCAGGACTAGGTATTGCATAATAGAGCAAGACTGCACAGAAAAGCATAAAGCAGGAGACAGGATGAATGTCACAGATATTGGATTTTGGTTTTTTAGTAGCTGCACATGGTCATTTTTGGAGTTTGTTTCTTACAAATGTGCCATCACTGCTGTTTTTTGTTGTTGTTTGTTTGTTTTTTGCTTGCTAATAAAAGGGCACCATCAACACTAGTGTTTTGTACAGGGCCTTTCTCACTGTCTTGCCCTAAGAGTATTTCTAGTGCAATGGGCTCTGTAGAGGAGATCAGACAAGTCCAGGGCACGGGATAAATCCTAGACTTAGCTTATGCTTACATGAGCAAGTAGTGTGGCCCAGTAGGCACAGACTTACAGTGATTCACTTTGTGTTGAGAACAGGTCATCTGAACTGTATGTGGACATGTGTTGTGTTCCTTGTTGGCATTTCTGCAAGGATTCACAGCATGAATATTAGTAAAGAGCCAAGGAGGCCAGCCTTAGATATCAAAATCACTGACAGTTCATGTACCTAACGGTACAGCCTCATCCCAAATACAATGACTGAACTGAATGGAAAGGCCTTTCAAAAATGAAAAGCTATACAGTTAACACTTAAAGAGAAGAGGAGATGTACCGTTTTAAAGAAATGATCCTTCTAAACATGGACGGAGGTAGATGTGTTATTTTTGGTAGGAACCCAGTCCTTAAGCCTTCCCCCCCGGCTTCTGCGCCCATGGGAACCTACAAGTCAGGAGAAAAAGTAAAGGCATTTCTAGAGCTCGACTACGTTTGTGCTCATGGAGTTAATTACATCACATTACTCATTCTATAAAGAAGGTCTCTCCGGAATGGAGATAATCCATGTACCTCCAGGAGCCCTACGCATGGTTTCCAAACTGCTGAAAGGTTCCTTGTGGACATGCTATGGGAGGTAGTAGGGACAATATATATATATTTAATATATATTGTAATGACTTTGACCTTATTTTTAATTGTTTGTCTTCCTGGTGCTACAGCCATTGGCAGCACAGCCCTGTGTGAAACAACCCCGCACTGAAATGGGGGCTCCGGGTCCCCACCACATTTTGCTGCGAGTTTCCAGAACCAGCGGGAGGGACACAAGGTGGGTCGGGCAGGACACACTGGGCACGGGCACTCACAGCAGGGCAGTAAGTGCCTGGAGCGCAGCTTGTGTCCCCGCCTGAGCTCCGGTGCCTCCTCCCGGCCTCAGGCC